ACAGAGAGAAAGGCAGAGACAGGCAGAGGGAGAAGCAGGCTCCATGCAGGGAGCCCGAAGCGGTACTCGATCCTGGGATCCTGGGATCCTGGGACTCGGGGCCACACCCTGGGCCAAAGGCAGGCGCTAAACCGCTGAGCCACCCAGGAATCCCCATCTCACAAGGATTTTTAGAAGTAACTATAATTAAGATACAACCAGCAGAGAAGGCATAAAATTTTGGACGATTCTTCCTAGAAGTGTTAACTTAGAGGCTGTTATTTTTTTTTTTTTAAGATTTTTGTTTGAGAGAGAAAGAATGAGAGAGTATGCAAGTGCCGGTCGGGGTGGGGAGTTGGGTAGGAGGGCAGAGGGAGAAGGAGAAGCAGACTCCCTGCTGAGGCAGGAGCCCTACCTGAGGCTTGATCCCAGGACCCTGGCATCATGACCTGAGCGGAAGACAGACACCCAACCAACTGAGCCACCCAGGTGCCCCAAGGGATTTCTTTAATTCTAAGGTGTTACTATTATCAACAAAGAAAAGCCATAAAGAATAATATACACTGTGTTAACTGATGGTTAACCTAAATTTTTAGTTGGTTATTTTTTAAAATTTTTATTTATTTATTCATGAGAGACAGAGAGACAGAGAGGCAGAGACACAGGCAGAGGGAGAAGCAGGCTCCATGCAGGGAGCCCTAGGTGGTACTTGATCCCAGGACCTGGTATCACGACCTGAGCCAAAGGCAGACCCTCAACCACTGAGCCTTCGCTTCCCTCTAGTTGGTCATTTATTTGTTTTTCCTCTAGTTGGTTATTAAGAAAATAGTGACCCAAGGTCTGAACCCCACCTTTACTCTATGTCAGATTTCTCTTATTTGATGAAACATTAGAAAGAAAAAAGGGGAATGGGATGCCTAGCTGGCTCAGCTGATAGAGCGTGAGACTCTCGACCTTGGTTCTGAGTTCGAGCTCCATGTTGAGTGTAGAGATTACTTAGAAATAAAATCTTAGTGGGGGGGGGATCCCTGGGTGGCGCAGCGGTTTAGCGCCTGCCTTTGGCCCAGGGCGCGATCCTGGCGACCCGGGATCGAATCCCACGTCGGGCTCCCGATGCATGGAGCCTGCTTCTCCCTCTGCCCGTGTCTCTGCCTCTCTCTCTCTCTCTCTGTGACTATCATAAAAAAAAAAATCTTAGGGGGCACCTGGGTGGCCTGTCAGTTAAGCCTCCGATTCTTGGTTTCCACCCTGGTCATGATTTCAGGGTGCTGGGATTGAGGCCCCTCTCAGGCTCCCATGGGGGAGTCTGCTTGAGGATTCTTTTTCCCTCTGCCCCTTGCTCTGTGTGTGCTCTCTCTCTCTCTCTCTCAAATAAATAAATAAATTTAAAAAAAAATAAAATCTTAAAGAAAAAGAAGGAAATAGATATGGTGGTGATGAACCTAATGGTAGAATTGATCGAGTTAATACAAAATGATATATCATGTTCTCCATTTCTTCACGATTGCAACAGTGTATATAAGTGCAGAGACTTTTCTTCTCCTATTTTGAAAATGCTCACTTGGCACTAGAAACCTATCGATTGTATTTCTCATCTTCCCTATACTGCCAACTTCTCTAAAAAGTGACCGATGCTTGCTCTTGCATTTCTCCAGGAATTCGTCTTTTCTTAACCCACAGCAAGCTCATAACTAAAAGAAAATTACGGAGATCACTAGTGACCTTCCATTCACTAAATTTCCTTTGCTTTCTGTAGGACTTGTCGCCTTAAACTTTTCCACATGCAGCTTCTCTGACATTGTCCCCATCCTTCCTCTGGTTTTTCCTCATTAGAACTCTGTGTGATGCGATGTGACACACCTCACAATGGATCTTGACACCTCACTGAATTTCAAGCTTCAGTTGAGAAATTGCTGACTCCAAGATAAATGCTAACTCTATCCTGCAGGGCTCACCACATTGTTGGACTCACTGCATTCTAGACTATTTACAAAGACCACTTTGACCTTTTTACAAATACAAGCCCTGGACCTTTAGGTAGATATGCATGCCTGCTGGCCTCACAGATGCCCTTGTACATCATATCTTTGTGATTTGTAGTGGTGCTGAGACACAGGTAAGACCAGATTCAGCTGTGCAATAAATCACTAAAAATAAAAAAAATCTCCATAGTGTCTATCACAATATACAGCACAAGATTTTTGTATTTAATGACTGGTTGGTGAATAATATGACAGCCACCTACTTTATAAAATTGTTCTCTTTGATGAAACTATTTTTAGTAATCTTTGCCAGTATAAAGTAATTTGTGATAGATCATAGCTTTTTAGTTAAAGTAATACAAAAAAAATCCATTTCCTGTAATAAGTCACGATCAATGATTCTGGCTAGATTTTGAAATTTAGCCTACAGAAATAGTGGAAAAAACGAGGATAGACTCAAATCATTGTGAACTAAATTTTGTCTTCTCATGATTCAAAACAAATAATCTGAAAAGGAAAAAATAAAAGTCATTAAGTGGGAAGTTCTGGGTCTGATTCAAGGTTACTGTGAAACTTCGGGATTCCTACTGAGAGACTCAGAGTTTGAAAGAGCTACAATTATTTGTTTTCTCTCCATAATTAATCCTAAAATTTTGGATTTTACTTATATTAATTGATATGATTTTTAAAAAAGATTTTATTTATTTTAAGGGGGAGGGGCAGAGGGAGAGAGAAATTGAGCATGGAGCCTATAGGGGCTCGATCCCACGACCCCAAGATCAGACCCAAGCCAAAACCAAGAGTCGGACACCTAACCGATTGCATCACCCAGGGGCCCCTTGGTGTGATTTTTTTTTTAAGATTTTATTTATTTATCTATGAGACACACACACAGAGAGAGAAGCAGAGACACAGGCAGAGGGAGAAGCAAGCTCCCTGCAGGGAGCTGGCTGTGGAACTCAATCCCAGGACCCCGGAATCATGACCTGAGCCAAAGGCAGACGCTCAACTACGGAGCCACCCAGGTGTCCCTCCTGGTGTGGTTTTTAAGAAGGAAGTTAAAGTCAGGCTAAATAAAAGGGTATATATATATATATATATATATATATATATATATATAACCAGGGCCCTTCTGGTTCCAGCCCCTCCCCTTCTTTACCCTTGAGAATGAGGGAGTCTTGCAGCAAAAGAGTTTCAAAATTATGCTTTGGTAGGCCAGCAGAAGTAGCTGTGGGGAGTTTCCCCCTCTACTGTATAGGTGCTCTACTCTGAGGAATATAAGGGTCCACTGCCCCCTCCTAGGAAGCCAGGGATGGGTGCCCTGAGGCTCTGCTTCAAGGAGGAGTGGCAGGATGGAGCTGGAACCAAGGAACAGAGTGGAATAATAAGCAGAGCAGGGAAACGAGACACGGGAAATGAGAACTTTCATGTGCCCATCTGAGATGCACGCCTTACACACTGGAAGGCAACCCAATGGGGACGGGCAAGAAACATTTTGAACCTTTCTCGGGACTCTGGATGGTGGGCTCTGGGTTCGAACGGGCACTCTCCAGTTATACCTGCACACCCTTCCAGACCCAGTGGCAAGTTATATGTGAAAGTCCACTGGGAAACTGAGTGATACTGTGACCACCATGACATAGGATCCAATTCAGTATACATCTGCTGAATGCATACCATGTGCCAGGCAGCGGGAATCTAAGGAAGGAAACCGAACAATGAGCATTGAGCCTTTGCAGCCATAAAAGGATGCTGTTAGTCAAATCTCCATATCCGAGCTCTCAAGGCCATGCGGTCTCCTTATCACAATGGCAGTTTCACACATGTCTGTGGTTGTTTCCTTACTGCGTGTCAAGCTGTAAGCTCTAGGAGTGCAGAGAGCCGTGTCTTTCTCTTCTTTACCGTTGTGTCTTGGAGCTAAGCGTAGATTCTAGAATTTGACAGGCATCCAGTAAATATTGATTGAATGAGTGTTACCATGTATTAACCCTTTGTGTGCGTGTGTGGGGGGGTGTTATCATCCTTTTTTATAAGTGGGGAAACCGCCATAAAATACCCCAGACCACACAGAAGTAACTGATGGAGGATTCCAGAACAGTTCAGGCTGACTCCACGACCCCGGGGGGGGGGGGTGTCTTTACACCGCATCCCGTCCCGGGTTGGGGGGCTCTAGACTGCTGCGCAGACAGACAGGACGTACTCGCGACGCGAGAGGGGTGGGGACCGGAGGCGTTGAGGCGGGGGAGGTGGGGGTCCCCCGCTCTGTTTAAATCCCGCCCACTCAGAGGAAGCAAAATTGAGCGGATCGGCTTGTGCCTCCAGCTCAGAATCCAAATTGAGAGGAAGGTGGAAAGAGTTAGGACGCCCTGGGAAAGGAGGGAGGGGGAGGGGGGTGTCTGGAAGAGGGGCGGCAGCCGTTCCTCCCTGCGTCGTGTCTGCTGCGGCGCAGGCGACCCGGGGGCCCAGCGGGGCTGTCGCGGCGACGGTCGCCCGGGCCGGGGCAGCCGCGAGGCCAGGTTCACCTGCGCAGGTGGGGCGTCCCCAGACGGTGGCCCCATCAGAGAGCCGCTCCCGGTCTGCAAGGGGGTAGCGGGGAGCGCGGGGCGCGGGGGCCCTGGAGAGAGTCGCGGGGCAAGCACCGAGGCGGGCATCCTCCGCAGGCGCCGCGTCGCCGCCCCTCCCTCCGAGTCGTCCAGCCCCACCGCGGGATTTATTTCCCGAGAAGCGAAATCCCCGCCCGCCAACTCCGCGCGGCTGGGCTGGCAGCTCGCGGCGGGGCGGGCGGGCAGCGACGCGGAGAGGCTATTTTGGGTGTGGGAACGCGGCGGGAGGAGGGGCGGCGCCGCGGGGCTGGGCGCGGGCGCGCGGGGAAAGCCTCCAGCTCGGGCTGCCACGGCAACCGCGTCCAGGCAACGCGCCCGGAAGCCGCTCGGGCGGCGCGCGGCGGCTCGCGCCCCCCGGGAGCCGCGAACCCGGCCGGGCCGCGCGCGGGGCCAGGCGGCAGGCACGCGCTGATTGGACGGCGCTCCCCGCGGCGCGGGCCCGCAGCCGGGCGCCCCGCACAGCCCGCGCCAGGGCCGCCGCACCCAGCCGCGCCGGCGAGGACATGGGCCGCCGCGCCGCGCCCGCCCCCCGCGCCGGTGAGTGCCGCGCCCCGGGCGCCCCCCTGCAGCGCCCCCGCACCCCGCCCCCGCCCCGCCCGGCGGGCGCGCTCGGCTCCCCGGGACGGCCGGTGACCTTGGGGCAGCCGCCCGGGCGGCGAGGCGGGGGGTGGGGGGCGGGGGTGGGGGGTGCAGCGCCGGAGCCGCGCGTGGCCCCCGTGACGTGCTGCGGGCGAGGGGGCTAACTGCATGCTGACGCGAGGGGATGAAGTTGGGCACAGAACGCAACTGGCATCGCATTTCTGCGGGGGCCGGGGAGGGGGGAGTTGCGTGCTGGCACACCAGAAGCCGGGAGGGACTGTTTGCGGGAGCTGGGGTGGTGCACAGATTGCCGGGGTGCGGGGTGGGTGTGGGGGGGGTGAAGCCAGCCGTCCCAGGACTCGGAGCTGAGTGACCTTGGACTGGATAACCTCTCTGCCTCCCCCCCACCCCCACCCCTTCCTCATTAAAACGCGGAGCCCGGGCTCTTCGCAGTTGCCCAGGGCTGTGTGCCTTTGTGCTGTGAGCTGGGAAAGGGCCCTAAAGTATGATTCCGCAGGGACAGGGTGCACAGGACCTAACCGTGTTCGTTCTGCAAGCGATTCCCACTAATTGGCTCGCAGAGTGGCAAGAAATGGTACCGTTTTAGGGGAGATTATGGACAGAAAGCAGTGGGTGGTCCAGAGAGCGGCTTCCCACGATCGATGCCCCAGTTAAAACCTCTTGGGTGCTCTCAAAAGTCATGAGCAGAATCAGGGTTCATAGTCCCGAGTTGTTCCCTCCTGTAGTTAATCTCATAGGAAACTTTGTATCTGAACAGGTAAGATCGAGACCCAGTAGTGGCAGGCAGCAGCAAATTAAGTGAGTCATGTCTTCAACATGCACGAGGTTGTGTGTGTGTGTGTGTGTGTGTGAGTGCGTGCGCGTGTGTGCGCGTGCCCGGCTGCGCTCACGCTCTCATCTTAAAGTCCGTGTATGTCCGTGTTAGAATCTCATAGGAGTAACCAGAAATAATGCTAAAGGGATTTGGATCCACAGAAGTGCAGCTCTCCCCGGGAAGCAGGGGCAAACATTTGCAGCTTGCTCTTTAAATAGGAGTTGGGTTTGTGAAAGTAAATATGTGTTCTTCCCCCCGCCCCCGCCCCCCCAGAACCATCCCTCGGGTTTGCCCATCGTGGGGGCCTTGTGGTGGAGTGTGTGTATGGGAGGAAGGCACCCCCAGACCCGGTAGGCTGTTGTGACACCTCTTCTATTTTTAGCACCAGCTGGTACTAAAAAGACACTCAGGCCCCTTTCTGTATTCTCAATACTTAAACTTCCCTCTTCCAAGGAGAGGGAAGGGAGGAAATGCCCTGTCCCTCTCATGGGCCCTGGGCTTGCCTCTTCAGGCTTCCTGCTCCAAAGCCACCCTTAAATGTTCATTCCAGTCTGCTTTCCTCTGTACAAAAATGTGGGTTGGGAAGAAAACATTTTCGGTGTTAATGAATAAGCTTCTGTAAGCTTGTTTACCTGGCGCTTTAATAATCTTTAATGGTTTACATGTTAGAAATCTGATAGCATTCAGACCGAAGAATATTTCCTGCAGGAATTCAGCCCACTGAAGCCCGACAAATCTTTAATGAATCACACTTCATTACACTCGGAAACCTCGCTGACAAACTATTCCACCTTCTGTCTCTCCAGTCTCTCGTTTCTCACATCCTGCAGCCATACTCCTGAATTTTCCTTTTCTGAAGCTCAGCCCATCTTCTGTCCCTCCCCTAGCACCAGAGCCTGAGTGAACAATTTCCCTCACCGGGTGCAGGGATTGGATTTCCTGCTTCTCGATGCTGCTTCCAAAGCATTAACCCTGCCAATAACAAGATCTCCAGTTTACAAGGTCATGCGGTCTGCTCGTGCCCCGTCCCCTCCTCCTTCTGTTCTGGATCAGTGCTTACCAAGCCTGGGGGGCTCTTGAGAATCGCCCGGAGTATTATGAAAAATGTGGCTCTTTAGACTCTCTCAGATACACAAAATGAGAATCGTCAAGATGGGCAAGACCTACAAATCCTTATTTTAAAAACAAACCCGACAAGAAGAAGGAGGAGGAAGGAGAATGGGGAGAGAAAACAGAGTTCTGTGGGTGATTCTGATGTACACCCAGGTTTGGCAAGCACTTCACTGGATGCTACAAAAAAGTAACAGACAGATAACCATGGGCAACTAGCTTGGTTCTCTTCTCTACCTTGTCCTTTGCCCATGTCTTTGGGGTTTATGTTGAGGCTCTATTAACTCATTGACCTTGAAGTTCCTCAAGGTCTTCAACATCAACTCCTGTGGCCTCAACGTCCACTTTACTTTTCAACCCCTCACATTTTGGGTTTGTTAAGGCTTGGGAATTTTTTTCACCTTCAAGATCTGATCAGGACTTTGGCCTGCTCAGCTGGTTGTCTCCATTTACGGCATTTGATTTTAACCATTATTGAGGACTCTGGTCCCTTAATTGCTTGCTGTTCCAATCCCTTTATGGCTCCATTTCTTCACTTGGAGTCTATATGTTGCCAGCCATTTCGGTTCTGTCTGGAATCTTTATTCTTAACATATCGGGCTTCTCATATTCCAGTCCTCAATCCAAAATCACCCTCATTATCTACTTTTTCTTCTCCCAGCTTGCCAAGTTATCCAGGAGAAAGTCACAAAGACCTGTGGACTGGTTCCATTGCAAATTTATGCTGGCTCTAATTTCACCGAGGTCTTGCTTTTCTGTGAAAAAAAAAATCCATCTTTTATTAACTCTCTACTGCATTCCTTTAGAGATTGTGCCAGATTTTCCCATTCCTTCCACTTCCAGTCAATTTCCTATCAGCAGATAGCCTTTTTTGCGTTGAAGAGACGAAGGATGTCCACGTCCTGGTTTACTGCCCTCTGCCTCAAGATGAGCTGTCACCCTACCCACCTCGCCACCCCAAACATTTTTCTTTACCCATCTTCGTTCTTCTTTATTTCCTCTTTCTCCAAGGGAAAAAAGAATGTCTACAAGTCCCCTCCCCATAATTAACCCACATACACTGCACACTCTCTGTTCTCTGGACTTTTTCCTATCCTTCTTGCCTCACATGGGAATTTGCTCTGTTAGTCCCTTTCTTTGGTTTCTTTGGTCCCTCCTTACTCTGCCCAGCTCTCTCCCCACCATATACGCCAGGCATCTTTCTCATAATAAAAAACACTGTGTTAGAGTCCCAGCTCTGTCCACCAGAACTTTCTGCGATGATGGGAATATTTTGTACCTGTGCTGTCCAGTATGATCGTCACTAGCCACTTGTGATTACTGAGCACGTGAAATGTGGCTAGTGTGACCGAGGAACTCAATTTCTAGTTTTTGTTAATTTTAAAGATTTTGTTTATTTATTCATGAGAGACACACAGAGAGGCAGAGACACAGACAGAAGGAGAAGCAGGTGCCCTGCAGGGAACCTGATGTGGGACTCCATCCCAGGACCCAGGGATCACTACCTGAGCCGAAGGTAGATGCTCAACCACTGAGCCACCCAGGCGTCCCTAATTTTTGTTCATTTTAAATTAATTTCAAGAGCACACGGGGCGATGGCTGCGGTGTCTGGCGGTGCCACCGGGCACCCGCTGCTGTTTTACACTGTCCTCGGGGTTCCCTCCTCTGACCGCCCACTCACTTGTCTGGCCCCACCCTTACCTTTGTGCTGAAACTGCTTTCTTGTAGGGCTCCCGCAGAGGTGTCCTGGTTGCAGAGCTGAGGCCTTTACTCTCCCTCCCTCCTTGATCTGCCCCGCCGCCTATTGCCCAGATCTCTTTCCTTGTCACTGTGTCACTGGTTGTCCACGTGCAACTTGAACCTCATTCATCTCGTTTTTCCTCCTGACTTCTGAACGTGGGATTCAGTGGGGTCCCGTCCTTGGCCTCTCTTCCTCTGCCAGCCTCCTGTCTCCTCTCCCTCCCAGTTGTCAGCTCACCTTGGAGCTAACATTAGCTGTCAATGCGTGGTTGCCTGGGGCCTCACCAAGATTCACTTGTATCCTGTCCTTCCGTCCTTGCGCTGCCTCTGTGAGGCAGATACTCCCATCAGTCCTATTATGTAGGTGAAGAACTTGAGGCAGAGAGAAATGAAAATAACCTAGGTAAGTGGTTGTGAAGGAGCAGACCTGTGAAAGGAATTGGAGCAATCTGACCTTACGGCCTGCTTTAGTTTAGCCTAATGAGGCTTTCCTGAAGCCTCCAGATGCCTTCAAATCTGCATTTGGAGCCTGCCTTCTCCCAGATTCCATTTGGAATCTGTTACCCAGAACCCCAACTATTTGGTCTCTAAACAGCTCTTCATCCTGGCTTCCTTAATCACTTTCCCCTTTTTAACTTATTTTGAAATAATTCAGATTTACAGAAAAGTTGCAAAAATAATTTAAATAATTCTCCTCTTTAATCCAAATTCTATAAATATTAACTATTTGCCCTGCTTGCTTTATCCTTCTTTCTCTATATGCTCTCTCTATACATACACACACACACATATGTTGTTGTGGTTTTTCAGAACCATTTCAGAGGTAAGTTGTAGACATGATGCCCCTTTACTTACCTCCTCCAGTACTTCAGTGTTATTTCCAAAAAAAAAACAGGACATTTTTTTGTATAACAAGCATCCAAAATTGAGACATTGCCATTGAATCTGTACTGTTGTCTAATCTACAGACCTTACTCACATGACACCAGTGGCCCTAATAATGTCTGCTTTTTTTTTTGAGACACACACACACACACACACACACACACACACACACACACAGGAGTGGGGGGAGGGGCAGAGGGAGAGGGAGAAGCAGGCTCTCTACCCAGGGGGCCTCCATCCCAGGACCTTGAGATCATGATCTGAGCCAAAGGCAGGTGCTTAACTGAGCTACCCAGGCACCCCTAATAATGTCCTTTATAGTATAAGAGAAGGAAAAAAATCTTTAAATCTTTTGCTCTGTTAGTTCTCACCCTTCTTTAATCTCCTT